ATCATATTTTATAGAAAACCCATTTCAGACTATAAGTGGCTGAAATTGGTGAGAATGTCACATCGCTGAATATTTAATTATTAGGTTCACTGTTGAAGCGACAACGGAAAGGTAAAGCATAATATTTAATGTCTTGTTGCTTAATATTTAATTGGAAAGCTCATTTGATTTTTTAACGTTTGGATGTTCAAACAAACCCAAGAATTGGGAAACAATATTTTTCAGCCTATGATTTTAATGTGAAACAAATCAAATAAGTCAAATGGGGGAAACCCTTTGAAATGTCTAGAAATGGTTTTCAAACTAGTTTTCTGTTTTCTTTTTTTTTCCCCAAAAATGTACCAAACAAACCCTAATGAGAAACGTGTGTTATTAAAAGTCCCGCAAATTTATAACATAAAAACCATTATTAATAGAAGATAATTTGAGCAATTCTTATATCAACTTAAGTGGATGGTCCACCAAAGTTTCTATCCACTCATGTTGTCTAGGGATCCTTGCATGATATTGGACAAAGACTTGGTGTTCACTTAAGTTTGACATAAAATCAACTCAAGATAATTGTGCATGTTCTAATTTTTTATAGATGTAAGCAGCAGTAAATGAAACCTAGGTAGTAGGTGGGTGACCACAGCCCGTGTGCTGCCCGTGTATTGATTGACAGTTGACACAATGTGAAGAAGGAGAGGGGGCAATTGATGACGAGAAGCCAGATAAAAAGACTTCGGTACGTAGATTCTATTCTCTACACTACAATGCGCCACCCTCCTCCCTTCGGTGCGCCATTCCCCTGCTCTCATTTCACAATCACAGCACAGTACCAAATTACTGAGCCCCATCCCGTCCCTTTTCTTTTGTTACCGTCACCTTTTCCTCTTCTCTATTGTTTACCAAAATTGGAAAGTTAAGTACTGATGGATGGCAATGGAGGAAGAAGGAGAGCGAGCAGAGAGACGAGCCCAGATAGAGTTAGAGGAGTTGGGTTCAGTAATGGAGCTGATCAGAGACAGGGGAGGCTGATGATGAGGAGGAACCCTCAGCTGC